CAATAAACTCTGTTCCCAATGGAAAACAAAAAATCTATCTCTCAGACTTTGGAAAAAAAGTTTAGATACTGTAAGCCTGGAACACAGAGTCTGACCTGATGACCAGGTAATTAATCTTTGGCACAAGAGTGAGGAGAAACACCCTAGCATGGCTTTGCCATTATCACTTGTATCCCAAGTGTGCCGATACAAGCACTGGTCACCACCTGAATGCTCTGTGGAACACAGTGAAATATGTAATACCTGTTCCCAAAAATACAGCTTGAAGATGGTGCCACTTAGTCTCTTACTTCAAGCATGGAAGTAAACAGAAGAAACAGTAACCACTAATTTACTACACTCAGTTCCACAGACGCTTTCCCCACATAAGTGACATTCCCAGGTGGGAGATAAATTTAGGAATAAAGCAAATAAAATAGATACTCTGTTACAAGTGCATGGCAAGAGCATATAATAACATCTATATTGCCAGATGACTTCAAATACCAATGAGTGGGCATTTATCCTCTACCGCATTCTCTTTCTCTTGCTTAGTCACAAGGTGCTATGCCTGGAGCTGGCACACAGACGTGGGATATCCCTTTCAGACTATGAAGGGTCAGACTTCAAAAGGAACCCATAGGAAACAGAATACTTCTTCGTTCAAGCATGCAACTTGGGAAAAAAAAAACAAAAACAAACCAACAAACAACCTAATCCCTAAAATGTAAGTAACAATGAAGCCTGCTGTCCTGATACAAGAGAAATGTTGCTAATACCTTTGGAATTAAGCTATCCATTCACTCCCCTTCACTTCCTTATTACTGTTTTAAGCACAAGCTACCCTTCTTCCCCAGCAACAATAAGCCTTGAATTCTGGGTCTCTGAAGACTTGGAGGATTAATATATTGCAAAAGCTCTTTTTAGCTGCAGATAAAAAGCACCTAAGCCCAGTACAGGTTTAAGGAACAGTATTTATTTTAAACTCCACCTACAAAAAAACATGTACACAAAGGAGTCCCTTCATTTCCACCCTAGACTGTTTCAGCACATTCAGGAGGCTTTAAGTAATGCTCAGATGATGAGCATGGCTCCTAAATCTTAGTCTTCTCCTAGTTTATTTTTTTTACTAGTTGAAGCTCTACCATAATCACACACAACTTACCTAAATAGGAAGTCTGCTTTCTAAGAACTAATCCATACAAACTTTTAGACATGAGTTCACTTTACATGCCAACTGCCAAAAAAGCAGCCTACTATTACTAAATGCATGCTGAATGCTAGCTAAGATGACAGTTGTGAATCAGCTTTTGGTCAGGTAAGACCACGGCCATAGTTAAATTGCACCCACTTGTACATAAACTACCAGTTATCAGAATAGCAACTCTGTCAGTGTTGGCAATAAACCTGCATTCTCATAATCAGTAAAAAAAAAAAGAAAAAAATAAAATCAGCTCATTCTTTTGGTACGAGAAGTATTTCTCATTGATTCATCTAAAGGCTGAAAAGTAAAATCCATGGAGGATTTAGCCAGTCAATAAAGAAAATGACTTTTTAGTAAAGCATTTCATTCTGATTTGTACAAACAACTACATAGAAATCCATCACTCATCTCTATACCTGGTCCTTGTTTAATTTCTCTCATTGTTTCTACATCTGTAGAGTGATGGCCTGAAGGTTACTTAACAAAGATTACTTTGTTAAGAGCAGTGTGTTGCATGTAATTACTATTTTTGCACCAATTCTTCCTCAAACTTTTCCCTATAGGATCTGAAATATTAATTATTTTTCTTAATTCTAGAAGGGTCTCTTCACAATCACATTTTTTAAAAAAATTATAATGGAAGTTTCCTGTAAACATCCACAAATCCCTTACTTTCACATAATGCACATAATGCTGCATCACTTGTACTCAGTACCTGTCAGAGCAATGACTATCATCCCAGTGTGCTATCCAAACTGTATGACGGGGTTTGTTGTTGTGGTGGTTTTGGTTGGTTTGGGGTTTGTTTTTAAGTATCTTTTATCTATGTATCCAGTATAAGATTGGAGTCAAATCAGTAGCCCTGTTGCATTACAGTATAACTAAAGAGCAGTTTAACATGAATTACTAACTGAATCAGTGTACTAATATTAGCTCTTTTGAAGATTACAGTACAATACTATACAGGAAGATGACGAGAAAAAATAACATCTCCAAGATTTACTATTAAAATTCCTCACAGGTTTTTCAAGATTGTTTAATGCAAGATGCATTGAACACATGCAACCTGGAAGGAATTCTCAACAATAAAAATAAGAAAGCAGAACTACAAGAATAAATCAAACTGCTGAACCACTAAACAAAGTTTGATACAATTATATGAAAATTAAAATGCTGATCTACAGATTTTTACATTACTTATAAGAAGCATGTACTGATATTGAGACCAGCTTTTTGAAGCCCATGATAAGCAAAGTCTATCTCTTAAGAGGCAGGTCTGGTATGAAAGATGCTTTCACTTTAAGTAGCAACATGTGCATACATGCAACATACAAAGCCCATCAAGACTGAAGGAAGAAAACAGAAGAGAATAAAGCAAGAATTGAAACTTAAAACCTGTTCCTTTCAGACAAGGACACAGAAAGACAAAAATCACCCTTTGATCTCAGCATCTCTGATCTGGTTCCCAGAATACCAACACTGAAGCCCACTGAATACCAACATCAATTAGTTATACAGAGATTAAAACCATGCCCAAACCACTGATGATTACTAGGGTCTCACTTTATAAACGAGCAGGAGCATCATGCAATAACCCCTTGGCAGCAGCAGAAAACAAAAAAATAATGTAATGAGAGAGGAAGGGGGAAGAAAAACAAACAAACAAAAAATCAGTTATTGCTCCAGAGCCATAATACTGCCCCAGTATAGTAAGTCACCACCTCTTTCTCCCCTAAAGGAATGAGCGAGTATAAAACTAGTATTACCACATGCGGGATTCCAAGAACAATGCAAAATAATTCCTTGGCTCCTTTCTAAGATACTGAACCCGATCTCTTTTGGACAACATCTTCTAAAGAAATCAAAGAGGTGACCAATGTAATAACAGTAAATGATGATGACAAGAGGTTGCAGCAGAAGTATATAGTTTCCACCTTGTAGCAAAATTTCTATTCATTTGAAACACTGAATGGTGCAATACAAACACTGTGAACTGTTCTCCAAAAGCAGAAACAAGGGAAAACTCAGCACCAGACCCAAAGTCCATATTCACCAAACTGAAGATCTAGTAGAAGACAGAGCTACTAGACATTGTCACTGACCTGTTCCATGCAAGGACAGGTTCAGGTCACATTTTTCAATGGTGCACTTACAGTTCTGGATGAATTTCAATTCAGAAAATAGGCTTCTCCACTTTAGGTTTTAATACAACTACCATTCATCCACCAAAATGCCCAGTAAGTAAAAACAAAACAAAATCAAAAGTCAAATACCGACGGCTAAGCAACAGACGAATGATTACTACTGTTTGTCTGGAAACAATGAAAGCCACACATAATTGGTTTGAACTCTGGAAGTATCTGTTAAAGAAAAGTCTCTGAAATACAACATTTTTTTCTTTTTGATTACTATCAAAATTCAACGCACTTTTCATAATCTAACTTTCAAATTTTTCCACTGAAAAACTAAGTGTGTGAAACTATATTCAAACACAAATGTACCATTTGAAAAGAAGCCACAACAGGTAGAGCACTACATCTTCCAAAAATCAAACATGCATGTCTAAGCATCGGTTCTCAGTCTACCTTCATTTACATAGCAGACATCTGACTCTATTAATTAAAGCCCATTTTTCACTAACAATCTTAAAGAAAAGACATATCATGCCTGAATGTTTCACATTAACTCCTGCTATGCATTGAAAAGAACTCATCTGTATCTTATGCTTTAGCAATATCACTGTTACACAACTTACAGAATTCTGAAGGACAAACATGCAAAAATTGTCTTTTTTTCCACACACATCACTTGAATGGGTCATTTGAGACCCACCAAAAGGATGTTAAGTCAGGGCTTTGGCAGTAGCAGCAACAGGGTATTTCTGCTATTTGTGCAACTGCTTTTATGCACAGAAATTAAATACTCACCAGAATATAACCATATTCAATTATCTTCCCTTCAGCAAAAGTGATGACAAAACAAAGGTATAGGTACAATATCCTCTGAGAAAAAAGGCAGAAGACATGGAAGGACCAATTCCATGAATTTAAATAAGTGCTGCTGGAAAAAAACATTTTTACATGGTGCTTTGCTTTCCTGCCTTTTCTTCTGCCTTTTTTTCTTTTTTTGGATTTGTTTTGTTTTAAATGTCCCTCAAGTTTCTATGTGTTTGCTCACTGACAGAGCACTGAATCAGCACATAGTGACGGAAGTTACCTACAGCACACAGAACATTTGCTAACAGTAGAAAATGGTCTGATGAATACAGTTTTCCTTTAGGTTACAATGTAATGCAGTCTTAATGGAAATTGTTCATGGCCGTAACCTAAACAATTAGTCCTTGAAAAGTGTCTGACAGAGGTGTCTGTCCCTCTCCTTCTGCAAACAAGTTACCACATATATGCCACAGGCTTTTGTACTAAAACTTTGCCCCCAGGAGGCTTTAACACCCAAGTCTTGAAGGTCAAACACTGTCCCTGCATAGGGCTTTCACCAAAAATAGGCCAGTACTGAAAGCTCTTAACAACCCCCACTTTCCTCTGGCAGCCCCACTTACCCTGGGGCTTTGTACCTTCTGCCTCTCTAAGCTCAAGCCCTAACCCTTAGACACCAAACTACTGCTGTCAAATTAGTATATGTTTATTACATAAGAAATAAGGCAAATTGCGTAGACTTTAGTCTGCCAGTTAAATATACAACATTGACCTTGCACACTTGTTCAGTAGTTTCCAACAACACCCACTTGCTCAGTTTGATCCCCACTGATCATTACTCAGGGTTCCAAATACAATACCAAGGAGGGGGGTTACATACTGACCTGGTACCCCTGGAAGAAACTGAGTATCTCCTTTATTCCTGTATTATATGGCAAGCCCTGCATACGGACTAATGCTCCAGGCTGGGGCAGAATTGGAGTGTGGGTGGCAGTGGCAGCAGCAGCTACAGCTCCTGGAGGAGCTGTAAGATACCCCACTGTGGTGGGGGATACTGGAGGACTGAAAGAGAAGGAGGCAAAATTGTTATGAAAACTAAAAACTGGTTTTAGTACTTGAAATAAGCAAAGATGAAAATGAAAATTTAAATAAGCCCCAAACCCACAGAAATCCAAGCAGCCCTGACGTGGGCTTTTAAAATTTCTCTTCAGCATCTGATAATTTATTTTTAGATAAGAGAGGGAAAGGAACATAGCTAATGTTTGTAGTTGAAGGCAAAGAGTGTCATTTGTTAGTTCACAGGGGAGAAGAAAAGTAGTAGCTGCAGGTGATTTGTTCTAAGGTTGTTAATAAAACCATGAGGAAAAAGAAAATGGGGAAGAGAGAGAAAGTCATAGTATAAGAAGCAGGCAAGGGCTCAACACTGGGACTTCTGAGTCACAAAATGTTGAGTAAAGTAGCAGCTCTAGTCAGGGCCCACCTAGCAATTTACCAGATGCTCCAGCTAGTAAGTGTCAGAAGCCTAAGAGCTATCAATGAGCAAGCTATTTCCAGACTTTAGTGAGCAATGTTGATACCATCTGTGGGAAGGGAAAAAAGTGGAGATCTTCTGCTCTGCTTACACATGCAGAGTGTTCTTTGGTCTCACTGATACAAGAAATCAAACCTAGTACACACCTATGATGAGTCTTCCGGTATGGAAACAGTATTTTAAGTACAAGAACAAACTTGAGGGTAGAGACATGTATTGACACAGCCTCTCACTTGTCCAAGAAATAGAACCGCCTTGATGACATTGCCCCAGTGTCAAAAACACTGTTAAATATTAGACCAACTTTATCAAGAAACTCAAACAGAACCTACAGAGAAGCCACTCATTACAAGGCCACAGAGAATCAGGCAAAATGACTGCTGCTTCTGTTGACGAACATCAAGTTCCCAGGATTATCTACACCAGAAAAACAAGTTTAAGAGCTGTTCACAGGTGACTGCACACATTGCCTGCTCCACGGAGATGACATGTGAGGAGAAGCAGCTAAGTCTAGGGGTTACCTGGGATAGTAAGTAGTGTAATTCATATAAAGCTGAGCAGCCTGAGCTGGGTAGTAGGTAACAGTTTGAGGAGCAGCTGCAGAGGCTTGGGGAGTCCTGGTGGCTGGCAAAAGGGCTTGCGGCTGATAAATTGCTGCCTCTGCTGGGATCACAGCTGCTGCCTGGAAAGCAGCATAGGCTGGTGGAGAGAGACCTAAACAAACAAGGACAGAGCAACAAAAAAGGATCAGAATAGAGATCTCTGCAATACAAAAGGAATTATTCATCCCAATGTGATTAATACCATCTGGGCGCAAACACTTGTGCAAAGACCTCTATAGCCTCTCCCCTGGAGACCCCTAGCTACGTCGTCATGAATGACAACGGGGACATTCGAAATAAGCAATTCCTAAGAGTTCACAACTCCTAGACCTGAACAACCTTGTCTATATGTAAAATGGAAAGTAGGGAACCGCAGAGTTATTCAAAGAAAGCATAAAGCCATGTACATACAGAAAGCAGGCATGCACACCAACACATCCTCTGTTCTTTCTAACAGAAGTAGTACTCTGTGGGGCAGAAGTACCGTAAGATTAGCTACACAAGGGCATCCACAGTTGCTGACACCAGGATCCTCATGTGTAAGCCTCTTGCAACTTCAAAAATACTTTTTGGGATCTAGCAAATGGAAAAAATAATACCCCACTAGATCACTAGTCTAATGCATTTTCATGAACAAATACCTGCTTTGTGTCAAAACATCAAGTTTGGCTTGGTGTGCAGTGAAATTCTTTTTATATACTATATTTGGCAGTTTTTTACTATTTTGCAAATACATGTCGATATCTGCTTTGTTATTTGGTATTGAAATTAATTAGAATGGTACAGTAAAGTTCCATTATAGTGCCACAATAAGGCTCTCACTGTAATCTTAAATAAATAAATAAATAAATAAATAAAGGAAAAAAAAAAAAAAAAAATCAATCCAACTTCACCACTATGGTCTGTTAATGTACCATCCCAGTGGCTGCTTTCCTTCAAAAGTAAGCCCAAAGAGTACCTCCTGAATGCTCTAAGGCAAGATGGCAGGAGCACTCATCGACAGCTAGAATCTAGAATTTCTCCCCATTTTAATAATCCCTTTAATTCCAAGTAGGTTACACTACAAGCAAGTCAACTGCAGAGCTCAGAACAGTACACCCACAAAAAGCAAAGTGTGCAACAATTTCACTAGCAAGGCCTTGCTGCCCCCTACTCATCACCGAAATTACAATAAAAATGCCTCTGATCAGTCCCATTATTGAACAAAGGGAACAATTTCAATCTCAGCATGTACACAGATGGATGATTATTGATCATGGCAAAACCCAACTCAAAAGGTGAAAGGCCACAAAGCTTCAGCACCTACCACATATCAGCCTTTAGCAGCAAAGAGCAGAAGAACTGGAGACTTACATGGTAACTTACATGGCGGTGGGGATAAGCCACTACGATTTAAAGTGCCACCCATTAAAACAAAGTTCATCTCCTCTCCTGAACACTGGAATACTTCCACATAACGGTCCTTCATCATTTTTTTGTGACATTTTTGAGCTACCATATAGGCTTTATCAGCAGATTTCATTTGGATAAAAGCATCACCTGATGGTCGTCCCTATGGGATGGGGAAATAATCTGTTATTAAAACAGCCAGGAGGCTAGAAATGCAGAAAGAATGGAGATCAAATGTCTACTGAAAATCTGTATTGTTCTTTCTCATCTGGCACTAATCACTAATAACAATTACTTTTAGGAGAAGAAAGGCAAGACTCGTATAATCAGCCAGTTAACACAATTCTGCTTCCACCTTCTGGAGGAAGAGAGTAATTTATCATGGAGACAGTTTGGAGGCCTCCAATTCAAAAGATGTTCAGAGCAGGGCTAACTTTCAAGCTACATCAGGCCACTCATGGCCTTCTATATTTGAAATCTAGACATCTCCAGAGGCTAAGATTCCAGAGTATCTCTGGGAACCTGTTCTAGTACCTAAATAACTTCTATTTAGGATAATTTTATTTTCTTTCCTTTTCACCTAATTGGAGTTTTCCTTGATGAAGGTTATAAACACAGTCTCTTATTCTGTAAGCTGTAGGAAGAGTCTGGCTTTGCCTTCCCTGTAACTGCTTTGTAGGTGATAGTGCAAAAATATAAAGCTCCAGACATGACTTTATAAGGTCCATAACTACATGAGTGATTTCCAGGTCTGATTTTCTGTGACCTGACAGACATTGTTGTATATATAAAATATTTAAAACTTTCTTAACAAAAAGCAAATCAAATGTAGCAAATCTCTCATTTATTTTCTTTAGTATCTCAATATTTCTGTGGCTAATGGAGCTTATTTTTAATAAAAGACAACAGGGAAAATTATCCCTGTGGTTATGCCATTAAAACATACCCAAAGCACAATTTTTCATTATCAACTTTCTTTAAAGCCTGATAAGTGTCTTATCAAGTTAGAAAACTTTATTTTTCCACAGCTATCACTGAGCAGAAACCCTGAAGCTGACAGAGCAGCTACGCTACCAAACATGAGACATCTCCGTCTTGTGTATTACCTGCACTTGCCTGAAACACAAGGGACTATTTAAGACAGCCTCCAGGATAAAGCTATTCTTAAAGAACCAACTTCATCCTCCCCAGTCTAATGCATACATACATAGGAAGAAAAGCATGTATGTAAAAGTGGAAATGAGGAAAAGTCACAAACAACACTATTTTCTCAAGGTTACAGAAGACAAAGCACAACCAATAACAGGTAAGCTACCCTGACTACTAACCCTGTTCAGTAAGAGGAAAATTAGCTCTCCTGTGCAAAATCCTGTTACCTGTTGATTGAAGACCATGTGAATTCCATGGGGCTTGATATCCCCCGTGGCGTCTCCCATGAATTCCAGGATGTCATCGATGCCAGCAGTGTAGGGAAGGCCTCTGAGCCGAACACAGTCACGTACACTACCCGTGGCAATGGTGTATGGGGAGGGTATGACAGGAATGATGGGAGTTGGGAGGGTGGGAATAAGAGGTGTTGACATATATCGATTGAGTACCTGTTGGCAAAAAAGCACATAGATAGAGATTAACACATCATCTTGCTGAATACAAATCAATTCTCACAATACTATTTCACATATTTAATTAAATTCACTTCTAACATCAGAGGGAAAAAATCCAAAATAAAACCAAACCTTCTTAAACCAAATGATTTCTGATTGTTTCCTTTTGGGCATCTAGTTTCAAAATCAGAAGGGGAGAGGGGAAGTCTAAAAAATTTAATTTGCTAAACCCTAATAACAGACCTTTCTAATCTCTAATAATAAGTTAAAAGCAGATTACAGTTCATTTTAGAATATCCCAAAAAGGAACATCTGAAAATCACATTTGTCCTAATAAACCAGTATTGTCACATGCAGTTCTTACTTAAATTAGGGTAAATTAAAATCAGTCATTCTAGAAGAACTGAGACCTTAAATAACTAACAAATAAAAACAGTGGCTCTAATTGATTAATAAAACTTGACCAGTTAGTGAGGATGCTTGTTTTTTTAACCTGAGTGCTCATCTCCAAGTCCAGTGCAGAGAGGAAAAAGTTAGTATTTAAAAACAGGGATAAAGAACTATAGGAGACCTTGACCTCAACATTTTATTTTCTCTTGACTCACTCCCAAATGACAAAGGGATGTTGGGATGTAATGCTGAAAATCATATTTAGTGATGATTACCAGAAATAAAGAAAAGAGATTTCACTCTTTTGAAAGAGATACTAAAAAAGAGGTTTAGTTTTGTCAATACTGATTCAGTCTAGGGAGGTTGTCTCAACAGAAGCCTTTTTTCAGGAATTCATTTTTAGCACATTACAGGCCAGAAATCTTCTCTCTTATTTGCAAAAAGACTATTGTAATTACTTTGTATTAACACTGAATAGCTGGGAGCTGGCTTTACCTCTTGTAATTACTCAAACCTGTAATTCCCTAAAAATCATCTCTTGCTTAAGGGGAAAAAAAAAAAAAAATTAAAAAAAATCCAAAACTGTCATAGAGGAAGAAGTAATGGTAGAACAGAAGCTTTATCCTGGTCTCCATAACAAAAGTGAGAGCAGACTTGGTCACTGTGGCAGAAAAATGCATCATGGGATGGTTTTCACAGGCTTGAGCTGCTGGTGCCAATACAAAATGGTTGTACCAGTGTAAGAAGGTGATGACAGGAACTGGTGAAGGACAAAAGTGAAATATATTATCTTAGTAAAACAGGTATTTCACTTCTTTTCACCAAAAGTCAGATACATCCTGGTAATTCTTTGTTGCCAACAAAGCAGTTGGAGGAAAAGCTGGTTTAATGCATCCAGATTTGAATTTAATGTTAGAAATTCTGTACAGAGAGACCAGAATTTAAAGACAACACTGCAGATTTTCAAGAAGCATTACTACAGTACTATCAATCTAGTATGTTTTTAGAATTATTTGTGCAATTTCAGTCAACCTTGAGGAAGTAGAAGAAAACTATCCCATCATTTTTACTTCAGAATCTGAGGAATGTTAAAAAAAAGAAAAAGTGGCAGTAAAAAAGTAAACAGCAAAACCCCAAAACAATGCCGTGCAATTTTCCACAGCAATCAGGAAGCACATACTGCCCTTTCTAGAACTTGACACTGTTAATGTCATAGACTTTCATGGTTGTCTACAACACATTTATGTGCAAGTGTTAGAAGAAAAGGTTTAACTGTTAAGTTTCAAGTCTCACTGCTAATAGCTACAACCTGTTGGACTTCTGCTGCTGTGCTCCTGAAGAGTTCAATGTAACGTTTTCCAAGTATTTCTTTGTGCTTTTTAAGTGCATTCTGTGCATATTCTTCACAGGAAAATAACACAAATGCATCTCCTGTGGGCCTGCCATCTGGGTATTTAACAAAGAGAAGTCCCTCTTTCCCTCCTGTGACTGGACACTCTGGCCCCAGGAACCCTAAGACATCCTCTTGAGTAGCAGTGAAGGGAAGGCCTCTCATCCGGATGATAACTTGATTCTCCTTAGATAAGAACTGGGCCACTTCATTGGAGGTTCCTGGTAGAAAGATAACAACATATGCTCAGTCAATTCCATAGGCTGCAGGAGCAGCAAGCATTAAGGAGTAAAAGCAGGAGATTACTAGCTAGCAACAAACCCACAGAAGACCTGAGATAATACTAACACCCAGTAATCTATCTTGAAATGAAAATCCTTTACCCTGAAAGTATCTCATATTTTAATGAAATTGCAACAAAGATGGGGTGGGCGTGCACTTACACAAGATACACAGAATTCTACTGCAAAGGTTTGTCTTCCTCCCTAACAGACCGATGTGGCTGTGAACATCACAGCCCAAATGCTCACAACTCAAATTCAACCATATGAAACCAAAACTTGACAGGGTCAAGTATTCTTAGAAGGCAAAACAAGGAAAGCTACTTTATTAACTACTTGTGCCTTCAGCCAAGAGGAAAAAAAAAATAAAAATAAAAAAATAAATAAAAGTATCATAACTAGTACTATATTCCTATGAACTTAAGGAACCACACTGAACTCCAGCATCACTTACCTCCTGCAATTTTTAAGAATTCTTCCCCAGTTGCTTTGTAAACCTTAAAGAGAAAGAGATTTTAAAAACCTCACAGGAAAATTACAACATTCAACACCAAAACACACTTTTCCACATGTCAGAGAATTCTATTTTACCAAAGTACCAAAATGTAAGTCATTTTTTTCTCATTTAAAACTGTAGTCTAAAACATCCAGTTTGCTCCCCAGGGATCTATTTCAGGTCACTGTTTCTTACCTCGATGTACCTGCTACCCATGTGATGCTTATGTCTTTCCAGTGCAAGATCTCTCTGCTCAGAATTGACAAATCGAACTAATGCCTCCCCATTTCTCCTTCCTTGAGCATTCAGACAAAGAGCCACACCACCTCTGGAAGGTAAAGCCAACAAAAATAGACTTAGTTTGAATCTTTAATACATTTAATAAAAACTGTGTAAGAACAGTAGGGAAATCAGACTTTGACATACAGTTTACAGAGTAAAAAAGAAAATGCTACTACACATAATTTAATTTCATTTTTTATGTAACACAATTATACTGCAGAATCCCCTTCAGTGAGATCCTGGAAGTCGTGCTCTTCACCACTTTCTCAGCTTCCATGCAGATGTAAATTTGCAAGACCCTCCTATCATCTCAGAAATGCAGATTTGAATTTCCTTATACCTCTAAACAGAAGAAAAATAGGCTCTCTCAGTGTTAAGAAACTGGAATATATATTAATTGACAGGTATGCTAAGTTAAACTCACTCTCTCTATATAACATATATATATATAAATACACACACACAGAGAAAGGTGTACACATGTCAGTCATGCGAAAATTTCTTCCAAACAGCACTTGGATGTTCCTGAATCCAGCCTGTTTAAGAGGTATCGAAGAGTTGACACAAAATTCAACCTTCTTTTACATCTTGGACTCTACCTTGATTAATGCAGTAGGAGTTTCTCCCTTTCAGTACTAGCAAAAAAATGAAAGGATTTTGGTTTTCAACTAACAAGTCTCTTTTCTTCTCCACTCATAACTCTTTCTTGCACGCCTAAGTCTGGTAAACCTGTTCAGTTATCATGACCACTGGGTACAAAGGGGCCTTGCTGAGGAAAGACAGAAGTGAGGGCTCCAGTGGGGGATGCATGTTAAACAAACACTAAAAAAACTTGCTATAAAGACAAAGTGATAAAGCAAGACAGGTTCTTATTATCTTACTTGGCAATGTTGAGTCCTTTGAAAAACCGAGCAATATCTTGGTCTGAAGACTGCCATGGCAAACCCCTGGCACGTATTACCGTCTCACTGTTCACCATTTCAGATTTACTACTGCACAGAAAGGAGAAAAAAGTCAAAGTAAGCTTTAATCTAGGTTTTCCTTACCTTAGCAGATTTCAGTTTGCTACTAATTTAGCTTGCAAATCTGTGTATTTGCTGTTAAGTCTCTTCTAATTCTGTTAATCATTTTAATAAAGAAAAGAAAAGATAACTGGGCTAATCCTTTTATATACACAATGCCTAAAATACACGCTGTCGTCAGCACATTGCAGATCCTTAAAAAAAAAATAAAATAAATAAATAAAAATGTAGGAAGACTGTCTCAAAGTGAAGTAATAAGGAACTGGATTAATCTTGTTTGGAAAAATTAAACAATCCAGCATAGATTATTATAAAGGCACTCCTAATTATGAATACATAGAATTTATGCTTAAGATGTTCCATTCTCAAAGAACTAGTCTGTTTCTTCTCTCCCTAAATCCAATATGTAATACAAAGCATATTAGATCACTCTTCAGAAGTACCATGTAGTTCAGCAGCATGCGCTAGATATTACCCCTGTTGACTTAGGGAAAGTTAACAAATATTTCTTCACCGCTGGGTAAGATAAATCAGCCTCGCTGCCATGCTAAACAGAAACTAAAGAACAAAGAGCATTTAACTTGCAGTGACTTTAAAGAGATGGACTAAAGTACAGCGTTCAACATAAAAGCTATAGTCTGTGTGCACTAGGAGGCTGAATACCCTGTTATTGTTTTCAGGGCTAACCTACTTCAACAGTGACAATGGGGAAATATCCATAAGCTTTCCCGGCTGAAGACAAGTTTCATCTTTGGTTGTAAACAACCATGACAAAGGTACTTACCAAGGACCTGTTTCATACTTGTGTTTCACATTTTCAGGCTCAGTAAATAAGTGACCTGCAACAAAACAGGAAGTTTAAATTAACCAGGGTCAGAGATTACTTAAGAATGACAGTACCACTGCCAATTCTTAAAAAAAAAATAAAATAAAAAACTCCAGCAGTCTGTATTAATAGTTCACTTACTACAACTTTCAGAGAGCATGGTGAATATTATAGCCACCATGGTTTTCACTTGCCAGACACCAAAGTCTTCCTCTGCTTCATCTGTTCCCAAGCCTAGATCTAAACAGGCGATTATAGAAAATAAAAGACTTGCACAGTCATTTGTAAACAAGCCATAAGGCTTTCCTGATATTAACAAAGAACTGGTAATCAAATTTACTGGTCTTAGCTGAGACACATGACCATTAGACGTGTTACTCTGCTCATAAACCAGTTAATATTCACTATAATGGTCAACAGTCTAAAAACTACCAATAGCTTTCATCATTTCAGCATTAACAGTTAAAAAAAAAAAAAGGCTGAGTAAGTTCCTTTCACTTCAAACACAATTGAACTTTAACCACGTTCAGCCAGGCCACAGCAATCCTCCTAAAATTTAGATGCAAGTTTTTTAACTTGCTTTATTGTTGCTGGTTTGGGTTTTGGGGCTTTTTTTTAAGCATCATGCAAGAGAACTATTACTACCTGCAAACAGCAGAAGTTTACAGACAACTGGTACTGAAAAGGCCCACTGATAGCTAAGTCCCTCTTTTAAGATCAACAAGCAATGTTTTTCCTTGGTAGAGTTACTAAATATGGTTTAGAACTCAGTGACAGACTCAAACTGAAAACAAAAATTTATTACAAGCAGAGCTGCTCCTCCCAACCCACACTTAAGTGAACATCCTTCTATTTTACCTATCAATTTTTAGAACCGACATCTTGGATTAGAGGAATAAGACCTATGATGATCACAGAGATAAAAAACCTAAGGATGTAGAATTGATTCTGGCATAGAAGCTGAAGCAAAAGGATACATTCTGCCATGGTCTTGATAGTCTGATCTTTCACGGCGGCTGAACTAGGGTAGCAAGTGTGAAATTCTTTGCGCAGATCATAAAAGGAATAGAAGCAGTCTGACAGCACGAAGTTCTACAAGGAAGGCAAAAAGTTTGTTTTGTACACACCATTCCTTTAAATTCTGATTAATATTTTTGGACTGAATGAGGTAGTCTTAAAAATTACATAGTTGCATGTCACCAGGTTGTCTATGATAGACCAGTTTAGTTCCTTTGAGACACAGTTCAAATTCCATAGCCTAACAGAGCTCTAGATGAGCAAAACCAAAAAGCTTCTCAGAGGTAGACCTATGCAAAGGTCTGCCTCTGGACAAGACAGCTGGGAAGATTTAAAAAAAAATAAATAAAAAAAATCTACATTGTGCTGTTTTATAACCACTCCCATTTAGGATACTGTATTTTCTCTTTTGTGGCTACCCTGCAAAGCAATAATGAACCGAAACATGATAACAGTGTACAAAATATCTTCCAGCAAGTTAAAGACATTTCTTCATTACTGTCCTATACTGGATAGGAACTTTAATTATCTGTTTTATCCATTACTAATTAAAAATACTTAACATTGTTAATCAAACTTTAAAACAGCACTTCACAAAACATTAGCTTGTTTTTTCAAGGGATAAAACAGATAATTCTAGCTTAATTCAGTACTTTCTCACTCTCCAACTATTTTACTACATAGAAGTTTTACTTCAGCCTAGTCAAACAGCATTCACCTTTGTAAATAAAGAATTAAGAAAAGTCACAAGGTAATGCTTCTTATAACAGTAGGAAGAGTAAGAGCCAAGATCTGAGGCTTATTAACATTTCTGGAGGGAGAAATACACTTTTACAAATGAAAAAGTATCATAGGAGGAGGAAAAAGAAAAAAGAGAAAGAAATGCTCTAATAAGAGGCTCAGCTCTTGATCAGATCCATTCCTTGATCTGGTATGGACAATTATTTCTTCCACAGCATTACAGTGTTAGTTTTGTTTTAGTTTATTTGATTCAATAGAGAAGTACAAAGAATTACCCACAAAAACCAGTGCTATCGTGTTTGAATGTTAAATATCATTCCTTTTTCCTTACTTGCTTCATCCCTACACAAACAGGTGCTTTTCATAAAAAGTCAGTGTTATGTTTTAATATAACAGAAATACCAAATGAATATTTGTAGAAACTCAGTGTATACCCTTATATATATAGAAAAAAGAAAAAAAAAAAAAAATACAACTGGTCAGCCAACTCCTTCCATGTCAGCAGCTCTCATTCCTGTGGAGTTCCTGCAGATCCTGCCAAGCAGGTTAACCCATGAGCCACCACCCTACACATAGGCAAGATTCTTCTCCCTGTGCAGGACAGTCTGCTCTAAGCCCTTTCAGGAATGTAGAAACTCCTGCTTCTTGTGGGAGTAGCAAGTAAGCTGTATTAATACTTCCCACTGAATAAACACAGATGGGGAATCACTGCCATTCTCCAGGGCAAGTCACTACCTGTGTGCTTACTCTCTATAGAACACTGACACATGGCTCCTACCAATTTCAGATCTTGGTAGAAACCCGTGGATCCACACAGAACCTGTAGATTAACTCAAGCCTAAACAAGGCAGTAGCTCTCCATCACCACTGCTGAGGTTAACCCCGTACCTTTGCTTCCATTTCCCAAGACCTAAAATTTAAAGTACTTGTTTCGTTCCTGTTTCTAACCTCTTTCCTAATTTTCCTCTTTATTACACTCATTGGGAGTCCTCAAGTGCTGTAGCTGGCTTCTAAGAGTAAATGCCAAGAACTACTTCTCTACTACTCATGGTCTGAGACAGGGTGGGGATCATCTTAAATATTCCTGGAACACCACAGTTCTCAAGGTTGAATTGTGTTGCTCATAAGTTATGTTCTTTGATGTCCTTAAAACACAGTACTGCCCTTCTACAGCAGTTCTCATCTCATACCTTCTTAGAAGTTTCTGGGTGGAGGACTTGTCGAATGAGTAACTGGCCATCACTGCAGAGTGTGTAATTGCTCCTTCCAAGTACTTTCAAATCACTGGATACCAGCTGACTAAACTGAAAAATAAAGCAATAAACTTTATTGTACTGAGTGATACGGATAGTTTCATAAAATGAGCACTTACCACTACTAAAACACTTATTTTTAAGAAAATAAAATAATTCAGCGCATTTTTCTCCCCCCCCCCCCCCCCCCCAAGCTGTTGCAAACATGCTGAAGAGCAAATAGGGGCTCCAGAGAAAGGCAGGCAAATAAACTACATACATTCGTGGAACAGAAAATAAGAACACCAACAGTATGGTAAAAAGAACCATTAGGACAATATGGCAGAATTACAAGCTCATATGAAAAGTCATGCTGTTATACTGGTAAACTGAACTATAATAAAAACTATGAAATATTTGAAAGAAAAATATTTTCAAGATCAATCACAATACTGATTTTGCAATAGCCACTCATCAGCATTTATTAAATTTTTTAAAGTTATATGCCAAGAAAATCCAAACAAATGTGGTCTGATACTTTCGAAAGTGAAATTATAATCAAGTTGGATCCAAACGAATGAAAGTTGTTGGAGAACAGTGTTACAAACACTAGCTAATAGATAATAACTATCCTACGATATATATAGAAGTTATAACTAACTTCTGGATGCATAACCCCCAACAGTTAATTCTCAAGAGGAAAGGACTCAATTTCTCTTGCTCAATGTTATTTTCCATCCTTTTACTACTCCATAATAGTGTCAAATTCCTTGCTCATAATAGTCAACTAATGTATTATAGTACCTACACAAATTGAATCAGTAAATAGTAGCTTGTTAGCTAACTTTCCAGAGGACAGATATAATTATTCTAAGCTTCCCTCTTGATGCAACTCCCTCCCAGGAAAGCCTCACCTCACAAAGCAAGCAGTAATTAACGTCATGATGCAGAAGCCACCCACTGCTCTAGGCAGTAGTTTGCAGCTCCAAAACAACCACCCCCAAAACCAAATTGCAAGTTGACTTGAAACTCAGACAATATCTTTATGCTGTCTTTTAACCTGTATTGAGGTAAGGCGTGTTGGTTTGATTTATCATCAATGGCTTACAGTTACATTCTCTGCTCAGAAAAAGTATGTTCCAATGATCTGATCCCTAGCTATACTGTATTCACTGTGCGAACAAATGTTACAGATCTGCTTCCCAAAGGTAAGGCTCCTCAAGGGAGAAAACATGTATTGAACATGAGGAGCAGAGACACGATTACCCATGCTTTGTTTCAAAACAATGTCTCAAATACAGTCCAGGCCCCTTTCTAGGCTTGGACAGCTAACCAGTGTCCCACTGCCATTAGAGTTCAGAAATGCTGTAGTAGTGGCTACTACATACCCAGACAGAGAACTGAGGGGCAGAGCAGGGTAAGCAGAGACACTTACACAAGCATCTTGTGCAAGTTGCTTAATTTGCAGATAAAAAAATACAGATGTAGATAGAAATCTATAAACCAAAGTTATAGATAGTAGTACCAAAGTAGAAGATAATTTAAACCTTAATAAGGGTGAAATATCCTTCAAAAAAAAAGCCTCTACAATGCAATTCTTTGGTTCTGTCTGCTTTGGTAGTGGGCAAACACTAAAGTCGAACAACTAATCCTAACTCTTGGAGATTCAGAAAGCCAGTTTCCTTCTGACTGCTAGGTTCATGTTGTGTTCCTACCCAAGTTGAAGTCTTGAAGAACCTGAGGCTATATGGCAAGTCTTTGTTTAAGGGTAGCTGAAAGTCAAAAAACTGAGATCTGAGAGTGCTCAAAATACTTCTTCTGATGTGTAAACACCAGAAAAGGATGAAAATTCCAGAGGACTCAAAAGGAACCACTTCAGAATTGCAGTTCTGGGGACTGACACCATCACAGACCAACAACAAATGAGAATGTGAGCAAATATTCACACCACAAACATAAGAATTGTCTTCTTACTAAATACAGGACCATCTTACTTTCTGTTTTAACTTCTGGGCACAGTAAAGAGCAAATATTTGTAAAAAGGGATTGGAAATGGTGATAGGAATTAACCTCCAGAAGGTGCATTCTTGCCAAAAAGGAAGCAGAGTCTTACTGATGGAACAGTAATAAAACACTCCCCAAACCTTCAACTTTGTACCCTGCTCTTCTTGTTTCTGAAAGTGCACAAGAGCCTATATAAAGAGTGCGATTAGGGAGCTATTTTGATCAGCAACAAGAAGAAATCCAGCACACACAATCTGAGGGAAGTAGCAAGTGTATGCAGGCACCTGCTTCAGAAATAAACCAGAAGAACTGTAGTTTTAGAAAGTCTTCAAGTTAGAAAACAAGAGGAGAAAAATGTTTGGACAAGGGAGAAAATGCTCAGGCCAAACAGTTTAAGTTATGTTAGCAAAAATCAGTTTTGTTGCACTGAAATAGTCACTTTTTTTTTTCAGATGGTGTATCCCACACAATGTACAGCTGAAAAGACTGATAGACAACACAGCTATTTTCAGAAGGCCCAGAGAAGATACCAAGAAGAGTGAAATATTGCATAAGGACACCAATAAGCCAAATATTCCAAGTGTACTATGGTTTAAAGAAGGCATGAGAGGCAGCATTTGTTTTTATTTTCAACTGAGCCAAAGTATTTGCACTGCATCTTTATTAAATGTCAGCAATAACATTCAACATTGCAAACTCCTTTCCAGTGGAAAAATCACCACATCAAAACTATTCACTACTTTTCTTAGTAGAGGCTAGCAGCTTACAGTTGCTACATGGTTGGCAAGCCCTGTTCAGTGCTTATTTAGAAACTTCTATTTTAAAACCCAGCCTTTTTCAAACTTAGGACTGTACTGCTTCAGAAGAGGGCAAAAGGAGTGTGGGAAGAACAGTCAGAAGACATAAACAATGCTTCCTATCCAAAACAACTTAACTATCACATGGGTTAACTGAGGAGAGAAATGGGGTAGTGGAGCGTGAATGGGAAGATTCACCCAAAAGAAAAACAGGTGACAAAATAGTGAGTAAAGCACCATCACATAGATGGCATATATCGGGGATTACCCTGAACTGGTTTTTTTCATCAACATGAGATATCTCCAAATTCTGGAAATGTTAAGTATAAAAAGCATGTCTGCTCTCATTACTGTAGATTGCACTGGACCTCAAAGTCTCTCAAGCAATAAATACTGCCTACCACATGTATCAAAAGGAGTTAAACCAACCAGTGCAGACATATTTCAGTGTGGGTTTATGAATGTAAGTTAAGCAATTCAGTGTTCCTGAGGAAAAGCCATCTTCAGCCTTCTTTTTCCACCACTATAAATTTCAGGCAGCATCTCAAATATCAGCCTCAAACTGGCACACACCCAAATGTAGCAAGCTAAGGACAAGTTAAGACCAGTGCCAGATTTACATTAAAATTTCTTTCTCACATGTTGAACAACCTGTCCACAACTCTGTCATTTCGTAAATTTCATCCACATCTCCTTCACTCCGCTAATAAAAAAACATCTCTGCTATTTACATCCTGTCATTCACCTTCATGCTGCCCTCCATAGCACTCCCCCAACTTTAGCTTCCAAAGCTGCCCCACCTTAAGACTTCCTCCACCAAGCTCACACACCCTGTGTCTCCCCTGTTAATCTACTCATTTCATAGGAACAGTTAGCGCGCGCTATTTACCACTGTTTGCATCTTGCAGCCAGCCCTCATTTCAACTGCAAGAACCACCATGTATTGGCATCACCCTCCACCTTTTATTGCTTATTCCAGCAGACCAGTCTTTCTAGGAGAGCTCTGATGAATCACTCTATATTTAAAGGAATGTATTCAATAATTCAATACTGAGATTAAAAACTGGAGAGAGAAGAGGAAGAATCAAGCAGCCTGCTCTGTACATTTACTTGCATGAAACTTGAAACAGTTCTTGGAGAAGAGGTGGTAAGAGGGAAGGACAAAGTTTGAGCACCAGTTTGAAAAACTGGCTGAACAGGATTTTGGTGATGTAGCTGAGAGTACAAAGAGAATGAAGAGACATGTTTTGCCAGCAGCAAAGCTGGATGACAGCCAGCACAAGCTGATGTGCTGTCTGCAAAGGAATCCCAAGTGGCTGAAATGATACAGCCCCCTTCGAATTGCCTTAACTACAACTGCGCAAAGCTGTGGATCTTAGAGAAACAAGATGATTTCTCATTAAGCTCTTTATATAGTTATGATGCACAAAGCGCTAAAATAAACCTCTGGTTGTTTGGATATTCCCATTTCCCCAAATAAAAATAGCTCACATCCTTGAGAAAGGCCACTGCATTGGTGCTGTATCTGTGCATAACTTGGTAATGAAATACTAAGATAATCCAGTTACAGAATGCACCCACACTGTCAACTGAACCATTTCTGGAACACAAACATGCTCTGGGGTACAGTCTCTTTAGTTCACCTCTGAGAAGTAACAGAAAATCTGGCTGCTGCTTTCTCAGACCTCCAGCAGCTCCTAGTGTGTCTTCAAAATGGAATCCTTTTCTCTAGCAGTGCACAAGGCTTCTCTGTGTTGCCTCTTTTAGCCTTACTGACCTATCACAGTTAATGGCACAAGACAAGACAAATTATTCACATAACTTCAGAATTAAAGGCATCCTTGCAATATAACCAGGTCTGGAATGTTATGGTAAAGCATAATGTAAAAATCCAGAAGAAACTTAGCTTGTAGTCCACATTTCAGCTAAACAAACATCTATTCTGGAATAGAAAGATACAAGTTATTAATAAATATTTGAAAAAAGGATGGTCCTCGCAGCATGGGGACCTGATTTCTAATCAATGGTATTGACAAGTATGTTACTAAATTGCCAAGAGATAACAATTTAATGATTACACATCAATACATGATCAAGTTTCTACAAATCAGCATATAAAAACCTGCCCACTTTGACTTCTATACCGTCTTTACACCTAGGTGGGAGGACAAATCACACTTGTTTCAGTCAAAAATTAAGACATAAGACAGACAAGTATCTCTTACTATTAATAATATGTAACTGCCCTAGAGAAAGTGAAAATACACTCTA